CGCCGCGGCGGGGTGGGGGCGGGGTGGCCGGGCCTACTGGAGGAAGGGGCTGGGCTGGGCTAGGCCCGGCTCGTACCGCGGGGGAGCTGTGGCCTCCCTCTGTGCTCTCTCCTTCCCCCTGGGGGGGGACTTGGCAGTCTGAATGGCTCCTCTCCCGATGAGCAGACTGCAGCGCTGTGCGAGGCGTCTCGCTTTGCTTCTCCAAGGACTCTCCTTGCATTTACACTTTGAAGCGCAAGGGCACTTCTGCCCCCACATCCCCAAATGCTGGGGAAACCATCTTACAGAGCGCTGTTTGAAGTGACGTGTTTCTGTACCACACGGCTCTGGCCGTCTCCATCACCAAGTACAAGTCACTTATTAAATAAGTGAAGGGGTTGCTTGGTTTGGAAGCCTGCCAGGCCCAGCTGGGATGTGTGGCCCCAGGGGCTGCATGAGTCATGTGAGGGATCTGGCCTGTGAGGGCTGCCTTTGTGAGGTGCGGGTCTTCCCTGCCTTGGTGTGATGTGACCCTGTGCTGTGGCTTTGCCTGGCTTGAAGGAAAGGCAGGCTGGGCTGTGCTGCTGCCAGCCCCAGGACCTGCAGCCCAGCCTCTCTTTTGTGTTGCTGCTGGCTTGGGTTTTCTTATATGCTAGAAATGGTCAGGCATATAGGGCCCCATCAGGTCCAGCCCTGTGAGGTGAAAAGGTTGAGCACCACTGTCTTAAACTGTTGGGTGCAAATCTACTCTGCCGTGGTGTAGCCCTTTCCTGTGGCCTTGCCCTGCTTGGACCTTGAAGGAAAGGCAGGCTGGCATGTGCTGTTGCCAGCCCCAGGACCTGCAGCCCCGAGTCTGAAGGCCACTCATTTTTGTGTGACAGTTGTCCAACCCTTTTGTTTTGCTGTTGGCTCGGATCCTGTGATTATGCTATAAAGGAACTGCACATTTGCTGCCTTGAGTTTGCTGGGAGCTGCAAACCATTTTGTTGGTACTTGAGACGCATCTTGGATTTCTTAATTTTTTTTTTTTTTTTTAATGTCTCCATCTTTGATGTGAGCTCTCTTGTATGATCCTCCCATCCATTCCCACTCTCCATGTTACTGATGATTTACAGCAGGTTAATCCACAAGCTCCTGCTGATAATGTAAACGCTGTTATCTTTCTGATATGCTCAGTCTAGTCAAGAAGTTGGAAGCTAAATCACTTAAGCTGTTGCAATCTGATACAAAGATGTTTGAGAGCTTTTAGTATGTTAAATTTTGAATTTTTATTTTTTTTCCCCAGAAAAAAAATCTACTGTTTTTAGTAGTAGCAAGGCTGAAACCCAGGAAACTCGGAGTTGGTCTCTCTAGTTTTGTTTCTTGATATTAGCAATAATGGTATCGACACATGGGGGAAATTTTTCCCTGTACCCGAAAGATCGACTTGTGCGGTTGTCCTAAACCGTTGCACAGGTTTGAGGCAATATGCAACCTTCAGCTTTGTCTTGTAATACCTGGGCAGTAGGCCATTAATTCGAAGAGTGAAAGCGTTCTAATATCTTGTGTAAAGGTGGTTAATGGGATATAATCTGGTTTGATTTTATTATGTCTCTTAACAAAAATGATACACAGATGAAACTTTATGCATCAGTTTCATTGGAAGACAACTTAAGATGAGTTTCCTTGAAGAGACTCTATATGTAATAGTAATAATACACTTTCAAAAGGTACCAGTCTGCTCTGTCTCCCTCCCACACCCCTTCACTTATTAGCAAGTGACTTATACTTCAAGATGGATGCAAATATAACTGTGTGGTATTGGAACATGCTGTAGCTGTAACTTAAAATAGCTTTCTGTAAGATGGCATTATTTTGGGATTGGGGTAGGGGGTGTCCTTGTGCTTGAAAATGTACCTGATGCTTGTTATGATATGAATAGGGAAGGGCCTTGAATTCACGGATGATCTTTTGAGAAGCTTGGTGACTTAGTGAGATTCCTAGCATATTGCTGCAATCTGCTTATAAGGAGTATCAGCCTCTTGCTAGTACCCTGACTATTACAAGAGTTAAACAGAGGTCTCTGTAGACTGACTGAGGTGGTCTCTCACTAGCCAGAAATGTTTCTCCCCAATCTTTTGGGTGCTATAAGACAATGGGGTTCTCTTATATGCCTGCCCTTCTTGGGATTTTCCACTCTGGATAATTCCAGTTCTTGCTCTTGCTTGACATCTTTGCAAACACTAGAGAGTGTGAAATGCACATTCAGGTGCACCTGCTGCTTGCTTTCTGAACAACACCTTTTGAAACTCTTACTAGCATCATGATGTGAGTCTCAGCAGACCTTTTGAAAAATTACATTAGTTGCAGCAGGTGACCTAGGGAAAAACTACATTCTTACTATGCTATGACTGATAAGACAGCCTTTCAGATACTGAAGAGCTAGAAGTCTGACTTTCAACAACAGGTTTCTATAGAGAAACATATACTGGGGTATGTTGTAGAGGTCCCTGTTGTAGTGTTCACCAGTGAACCTCTTCCTTTTGAGACCACTTCCTCTTCCTATAGTCCTTTTAATAATAACCATCTCCCTTTTCTCAGTCCTGTGTAAGAATTAGTTGTCCTCTGAACTGAATTGCTTCCTAGTTCAGGCCTCCCTCTTCAGCTCGGTTTCTGCCTCCCTTCTGCTTCTTCTCTTTCCTCCCCCCCCCGTGTGTCGAGAGGTCTAACATGTACTTTAACTAAATTTGCCAGACCCTTTCCTGGCTTAAGTTTAAATCACAATCCCCCAGCATCCTAGATGCTAGGCTGTGCGCTTTGCTCCAGAGAACAGGCCCTGTCCCTCTTTTCCCTAGCCAGAGCTCCAGGGGAGACAGAGCAGTGAGGGAAGCCAGGCAGACTCCCTGTGAGGGAGGGGGGAGTCACTACATCTCCCACAGGACAGATCCCTGCTCCACAGGCCCCAGGCATGTGGTATGCTAGCTAATGCAGAACAGAAGAGATGTCTGTGTGTCTCCAATTTCACTGGGACAGGCAGACAGAACAGTGTCCACTTAGGGCTCTTTGGAGCTAATCAACAGGTTAGCTGGTAATGTCTCTTCATTCCATCCTTGGAAAAAGTTGTTAACAAGAGCTTGAACCAAGGACAGAAGCTTTTGTTTTTCTGATGGGCTGATAAACACTGTGGTCTTGCCATCCCTGCCCCACATGCTGCTATGCAGCCCTATCAAGAGAGGGAGATTGAAAAAGCTCAGTATCATCAATAGATGCGTGCACTGTATTTCCCCCCCCCTCCTGCCCCAAGACAGACACAGTTGCACAAGCACCC